TTAACGTGCTAACTACGAATTTAAAGACATTTCTTAAGCTATTACCGGCAAGCTCCTAGACTTCACGATTTGATCTTGGCGAGTCCCGACGAGCTTCTTTGGCAAGCTTCTGGACTTCTCGGATTTGTTCCCGCAAAACCTCTGACGACCATCCGAACTTCCGTCGAACTCTCGAACTCCCAACGTGATCATAGTCTTGACTCTAGCGCAACTCCAGCGCAACTCCAGCTACATGTCTTACTTTCATCGTAGTTAATCCTGCACATGTAAAATAAAAACTTCGATCGAGACAATTAATCCTAAGCAATTAACCAAGTTGTCCGGCATGTCATTGGTCCCTCGACGCTTCGTCCGATTCTTCGACGCATCGTCCTCTCCTGCGGCCTAATGCCCAATCGGCCAGTTGACTCTGCAACTCCGATATCCTTGGCACAATACCCGCTCTTCTTGGCCCGATGCCCGAGTCCACGGCCCGAAGCCTTCTGTCGATACGTCGACCGATCCACCGGCCCGACGTCCAATCTTCTGACATGTTCATTCGGCACAACATGATTTTCCTGCTTTAATTGTCTCATCCTGATCGAAGTATCCTGCGTCACTTAAAACGCAGATTAAATCACAAACATACATCAAGTGGTTTCATCATCAAAATACGAGATTCAACAAAGTCATCAACCACATATAATAGGTTTAGTCATCTTATAAATCAATAAAATCTAGAAAGATAATATATACCTCGTGATTAGAGTGTTTTTCCTCTTAATCCTCCCAAATTAGCTTATCAAATTTGATCCAATCCACAAATCATAGTTTTATTGAGTTTAGGAGAGTAAAATATGAGAATGAGATAGATGTGAGTGAGAAGGAGTTTGAGAGGGTAGAAGAAATTGATAGAGTGAAATAAGTTGAAAGAGGGAGAGAGAAAAGGGTTTAAAAACCCTTTCCAATGGTTCAAACGATCAATTTGACCGTTTGAAATAGGGCAATCTTAGCCCTTGGTCAGTAACGATCGAAATCTGACCATTACTGACCTGTACTAGTCAGTAACGATCGGATTTCGATCGTTACGAACCGGTACTGACCCCATATCGCCCAATATAGGGTCATGTAATGGTATCGCCCGATATAGGGCAGTCCGTGTATCGGTCCCCTATTGGATTGGTATGTACCGCCCATATCGGGTGGTACGTATCGGTAAAACAAACCCTTGTTCTGTTATAATCCCATTAATAGTATCTGTATGTTTAGAACTTTAAGCTGGAAAGATTTATTCTCACTATTCACTTAATTAAACTCTAATTAACTCTATTTTACTATTATTAATTAAATATCTAAATGTGATCTAATGTAGATTATGAAATCATCATTAAATACACTAATCATACCATTAACATAATTAATTACCCTATAATTATTTCCTCTTTCATCATTATAAACATGTCAAACACTCTAATAGGCATTAAAGGCATTTAATTGATTCAATATGAGTCAAATTTCGATATTAACGTAATTAAATATACTAATCACAACATTAACATAGTTAATTAATTCCTAATTAGTCCTCTTTCACTGTCAAATATCTTAATAGGTATTAAAGATATTGAATTGACCTAATATTAATCAAAATTTGATTAAATCATCATTAAAACCACTAATCAAAATATTAAAAATCTTAATTAAAACCTAGTTAGACCTATTATGCCATCACAAACATATAAATTACTATGCATGGAATATAAAGATTTGATCCATTAAGTGTCTAATTTCGAAAAAATCAGCATTAAACACACTAACCATAATATTAAAGGCCTTATTACTCCTTAATTAATACTATTCTACTGTTAAGCAACATAGTAGACATTAAATCATCAACCACATAGAATAGGCTTAGTCATATCATAAATCAATAAAAATCTAGAAAGAGAATGCATACCTTGATTAGAGCGTTCTTCCTTTTAATCCTCCCAAATTAGCTATCAATTTTGATCCAATCCATAAACCATAGCTTTATTGAGTTTTAGGAGAGTGAAAATGTGAGAATGAGAGAGAGATGTGAGTGAGGAGGAGTTTAAGAGAGTTTAAGAGATTGATAGAGTGAAATGAGTTGAAAGATGGGGGAGGAAAGGGTTTCAAAACCCTTTCTAATGATTCAAATGGTCAATTTGATCATTTGAAATAATGCAATCTTAGCCCTTGGTCAGTAACGGTAGAAATCTGACCATTACTGACCTATACCAATCGGTAAATGTCAGATTTCGATCGTTATCAACCGGTACAGATTCCATATCGCCCGATATGGGGTCATTGTAATGGTATCGCTCGATATAGGGCGGTCTATGTATCGGTCCCCTATTGGACCAGTATGTACCGCCCCGGGTGGTACGTATTAGTACAGCAAACCCTGATTCTGTTATAATCTCATTGCTAGTATCTGTATGTTTAGAACTTTAAGCTGAAAAGATTTATTCTCACTATTCACCATTATTAAGCCTGTTATCTGATAGTTTCCATCTTCTTGCATTTAGTGGCTCTAGTTAGATGAATTTTTTGATCTTGGAAGTATTTTAGTCACTTCCAGCGACAAATAGCAAACAATTTTTTTTTTTGGAGAAATTCATTTTGCACTCCTTTTGTTTATTTTTCTATAAGATTAATCTTGTTGCATAATATGCATGTCATCTGCATCATTTTCCATGCTTGTTCGTGTTGTTATAAGATGGTATGGTAGAACTTCTAGATGACACAGTGCTTTTTCTTTGCCAGAATTAGAAAGCAAATATAAGTGATACTCTGGCTCATCAAACTTGCTTCCTTTTTCATTCTTATTCCATTTAAGATTGTAAACATTTTGGTTCTCATGTCCTAAACAGAGACAATATATGTTAGAATTTATGAGGAAAGGATGGACATTCTAAGGGCCGTTATTGTTGGACCAGCTGGAACTCCATATCATGATGGCCTTTTCTTCTTCGACTTTTTCTTTCCTCCGAATTATCCCCGAGTACCTCCGGTGTGTAACTTTTTTTACTATACTAATGTGTGAGACAATTAATGGTTACCATTTATTTCACAAGTCAAGGAAATAGATTAATTTTTTCCTACTATCATGCAGCTGGTTCATTATCACTCTGGTGGGCTCAGACTAAATCCAAATTTGTATGCTTGTGGGAAGGTTTGCCTTAGCCTTCTCAATACATGGTCTGGCAGTGGATGTGAAAAGTGGAATCCATCAAATTCAACAATGCTTCAGGTCTTGGTCTCTATTCAGGCTTTAGTTCTCAATGCCAAGCCATTCTTTAATGAGCCAGGATATGCACAAACAGCCAATACAGATTATGGGGAGAAGAAATCTCTGGCTTATAACGAAGATACTTTTCTCTTGTCATGCAGGACAATGTTATATTCGCTAAGGAGGCCTCCAATGGTATGGATCGTGCATCTTTATATTGATTTTGCAGTTTGCAAAGCATATCCCTTAGTAGCATCCTGAATACAACTAGAATAATCGACATAGCTCTTTTAGTTTTCTTGGTGATTTTCAAAGTTCTTGCAGATCTTTTTGGTAGGAGTTTCATAGTCTCAGGTTTCAACCGTGTTTTTCTTACAGCATTTTGAAGACTTTGTAGCCGGACATTTCCGTAGTCATGGGCGTATCATCCTTGTGGCATGCAAAGCATACATGGATGGTGCTCAAGTTGGATGCATTGTTGGTGAAGGCGTGCAGGACGTTGATGAGGGTGACAAGAGTTGCTCAGCGGCATTCAAGAGCTCTCTAAAGAAACTATTTGAGGATCTTCTGATGGAATTCACGGTCAAAGGGGCCGATTGTGATGAATTCCTGGCTCAGAAGGTGAAAATTGGAACAGCCAAAATGGCAGATACTACACTAAGGTTATGAAGTCAAGTTTAAATTAACATGGAGTTGCTAAATAATTTTGCCCCGTGAGGCATCTAGGTTACATATTGACTTAGAGAGTCCAGAAAGAACTTAGCTGTATGGTTTATCTAACTTATCATGTAAATAATATTATGTAAATGTCCCTGGGTGGTGGTTTTGATCCTCTCAAATATGTTGTGCAGGTGGTCCTTTGCTTTTCTTCCTTCTGTTGTCAATGTTGATATTATTCTCCTTATCAATGTCTTTGATTTTGTGGATCGAACGAAGGATTTTTTTTTTGCTTTTGATGAAAGATCATGCCACACATTAAGTTTCTAATTTTCATAAGCAATTGGCTTCTGGCAAGATGATGCCTGACATCTGAAAATTGCACATAATTCTTTTTATTTTTATTTTTTTATGATGAAGCAATATCCCAAACTGAATCTCTGGGTATTTACTACCATTGAAAAGAAAACTACAAGAAGCAGAAGAAAGCATGCGAAATAGAGTTTTTTGTTTGTTCTCTTGTGCAGAATTGAGCAAAAAAAAGGCTACTGGTTCCAAGGCTGAAAGAAGTGTGGAATTCTATCAGAGTCAACTTAGGAATCTTGGCAGTATCATGTTTTGCAAATGTCATCAACATAACATTCTAATGATGTTTTCAGTAATTTCAAGTTCCCAAATTCATCAACATTAGTCCTTGTTGAATTTTTGTTATCTTTTGCTGTAAGTAATCAATATGGTCTTGTAAATGTCGTTATCTTCAGTTGCATTAATTACTGATAGCTCGCTTGCCTACTCTTACCTGTCTATAAAGTTGATTAATGGATGGCAGATGGACGGACTCGCTGTTATGGAACGGTAGCAAGTGATGAGCATGTTAGTTTTATTGCTCCAATCAAGTATTATCACTTTTTAACCCGTCAATACGATGTGACATGGATATAATGACACGTGCAAGACTGTCAATAATACCTCATCAGGAAAGAGCAAAGCAACCTCGCAATTCAAATGCCTCAATATCACTTTTTATTTGGAGATGCAAATACAATGATGCAAAAGTAGTAACACAATTGTTCTCTTAAGCTGAAGAAGAGAGGAAAAGAGCCACAAGAAAGAAGAAACAAGCCCTGCCCTTACTACAAATGAAGCAGCAAAGCAACCTCGCAATTCAAATGCCTCATGATAACACAAATTCGACTACATACATATATTGTCCAAAGCATCAACCCTCCTCAAGAATATGGCTAAGCCACAAACTATTTAACTTTGTCGAGCACGCATTTCTACACCTGTTTGTGTGTATCACGCTTCAGTTTGTTCCCTCAACCGACGAATGGTGCTCCTCACAGTAACAGCACTAGCGGTGCTACAATCATCATCATGGGTCCAAGTTCCGAATGAGCAGAAGAGCATAGACAATTAGCTACTACAATGACACAATATAACACTTACTTCAAGGTATAGGCCCCACCGGCCTTGACCTTCCCACAATCCTTGCATCCCCAGATCCCCACTGCTTTTCTTTTCACAGCATACTGAAAATTCAGAAAAGAGTGTGAAGATACTACGGTCGGTCAGCAGGAGTTATAAAATTCATGGAAGAGAGAGTAGAAGACAAAATGAAACACTATTACAGGAAACTGATGATGCAACTTAGTCTATATTATCAGAGAAGATAAACTTGCTTGAAGCCAATAATAACATTATCAATTTATACAAAATAATTAGGCGCACTCAAATATACTCGATCCACTATGGATGCATCTACATTAATATCACAAGAGCACAAACAAATTGTAGGTGCAAGCATATCCAAGCCAAGAAGGGCATCAAATTATCACACGAATTATAGGGCAGAAAAGAAATATCCCAACATATTGATTCACACAAATTCATACAATGTTAACCATAAAGTGAACATCTCGATATAAGATGTTAGGCTGATCAAACTAGGCACCACAATAGTCAAGGAACCATACTTTTGAGAAAACTCTTCATGATAACAATGTCCCACATGATACATCCAATAATCACAATCCATGAACAAACCACATCAACCAGCTAAATGGAAACAAGTAGGTCTTAAGACAACATAACACAAGCTAAGCCAAAACTTATCTTCTAGCATGAAATTTGGAGGACATGACATGTACTGAATTATATAATCCAAATAAGAAAAAAATAAAGTCTACGAATTTAAATTTCATTGATGTGTCTCGGAGAGGATCAATGTAGAGTTTAATCAACTCAATTATTTTATGACTAGTATGTGAAATGAACCAAAATTAAAAGAAGTCATACCTTTCCACAGAACTCGCAGAAATACTTTGCATGTTGTGAAACTTCCATTTTCTTAATTTGTTTGCGCAAACTAGCACCATATCTGGTACCTGAAGCCAAGAAATGCAGATTCACAATATGTTTCCTGGGGGGGGTAAAAGGAATCATTAAGAAAGATCCGGGTGTAGCATACCATATTTTCCAACAATTCCAGCCTTCTTGGTGCGCTTAGTCTGCACTCAAGTCGAACAAAAACAAGTCAAACCATCAGGAGAAAAAATATCAACTTTCAAATATTCAGTCATAATTTTATAGTCCATTCCAGGTACTACCTGATACCAATCACCAGAAAAGGTGTAGAACCCACATGACTAGAAATGGCCACTACAAGATCTATGGTGAACAGACAATAAGTAACATATGGCTTATAGACTAATTATAAAAAAGTTTCCGCTGGGAGATCCTAATGGTTAGTGCACTATTGCATGATTATTGGGTCTCAGGTACGAGTCCATGTGTAAACATCTTTTATATACTCTTTAATGTAATGAAAGGAATCCTTTAAAAAAAAAAAAGGCAAATGATTGATAGAAAAAATGTGAAGGAAAACAGCTTAATTTGCCTTGAATTCCTACATTTTGTCTAGACTCTCAAAATCCAACATATTCCCCTCTAGTGATGCCACTTCAAAACTTTGGCTTCTACAGGATCAAATGATCAGAATCAGAGTCAGGATGTCTAAAGTAACTAATATTCATATAGTTTTTCAAAAGCTCCAACAATTACCATGGAAGTTAACAATTACCATGGAAGTTTCATACATAGGAAAATGTGGGGTTAAAGACGATTCTTGCAATTGCAGAGGCTCACTATCTCAGGAAAAATGCAGAAGCTCGATCTCTTAGATATCTATGATACTCACCCGGATTCAGCTTTACTGAATCTAAAATTCAGCAACATTTTAAAAGTATGAAGCTAAAACATAATATTAATTTCCTAAGAATATCTTCTGTCAAGCCCCTAGTTTTCTTTTACCGCAGCATCCAATCACAAAAGCTACATCAAACGAAGAATTCTCACGTCTCTTTCTTAACACAATCAACATGTCCTTGTCATTTACTTGTGAACTCCTGCTATCCTAAGCATCTATTGGTACACCGTCCTCGCCAAAAACAGATCACAGACCTAAGAGAAAAGCAAGCTTCGTATGGAGTGCCCAAGATCGAGATCAAACAAGTGTAACAACGATGTCAAGACAGAAGCAACTATAGGAGCAGAAAGAAATCGAACGAGAGCACGAAGCTGAGGGAAGAGATGAAAGAGCGCACCATCGTGCCGAGACACCGGAGGCCTATTCGCTTCCGCGAGAAACCCTAACGACGAAACTAACGCCCCACACCCCTCGCGGCCGCTTCCGATTTATGGCCAAACCCTAATCGATCCGATATGTGCATCGATACAACATCTCAGCCGTCAGTTACCGAAATCTAGTCGTCGATGTCTGACGTGAATTTTGAAGTAAAATATTGAGATAAAAATTTAATAACGTCCATGATTAATTAATTAATTAATTATCTTGAAATTTTAGATTATATTTATGTTAACACAAGTGACAGGTGATTGGTCCGTTAGCACTCTCCACACGACCAAGTTGCTTATTAATACATGGCCACGTAAGCAGTATGGTTAAACAAGTTTAAGGGTCCAATAGTTTCTAACCAATCTAACAAACTGATATAACGGCTTAACGATTATGATTGAATCTCGTACCTCCCTCTATTATTAAATAGACTACGATTGCTTAATAATATAAAAGAGGTCATACCCAACACACAAAATAATTTATGTCAACTTATTTAACTATATATATATATATATATATATATATATATATATATTGAAGTGTCATTTGGCTGCAAAATGCTTCGTCCCGTCACTAAAAATGAGCTCAAAGAAAATTGTCTCCTTAGGGATGTTACAAAAGTAAATGATTATGCACACAAATCTACCCCAATCTTGACCAGAAGCCATGATGAACATGACTAGTGTCAAGTCAACAGAAGCCCAAGGCAAGTCAGTGTGCCCGAGCATAGTGTGACTGCTTTGTCTGTTCGAGCATTTGGACGACCTCCCTCATCTTGGGCCTCTCCACACTGTGCTCTTGGACGCAGAGCATGGCGACGAAGAATACCTGCATCGCCTCCTCCATGGGGACATCGATCAGCCTGCGGTCCATGATGTTGACCACCCCTTCTTTGTGCCAGTTGGTGTTCATCCTCGCCCACTGCACTATATCCAGTCCTTCCTCTCCCAAGTCCCCCACGGGCCTCTTGCCGGTGATGAGCTCCAAGAGGACAACCCCGTAGCTGTAGACATCACTCTTCTCATCCACCTTCAACGTGTATGCATACTCTGCTCAACAAGAACAAACGGAAATGAGCATGCGCATGATAATTCAAGAGAGTTAGTTGTCTTCTACATACACAGAGAGAGAGAGAGAGAGAGAGAGAGAGAGAGAGCTTGGAATAAAGTTTTGGTAAATGGAACAATGATGGGGGTGGGTCAAAAAAAAAAAATAAAGTGTAGTTGTACTGAAAGCGAACTGAGCATGGGATTCCAAGGCGGCAGCAGCAGGGTGGGAGGAAGATAAAGCGAAAGGAGGGCAGATGCTGCTTGCTTTCTTTGAGTTGGGGCCTTGCGGCTCTCCTCCTCAGGACTGCAGCAGATAAAGCAGCTGTCTCATTGCTTTGGACCACGCCACACTGTACAATATCCATTGTATCTTCTTCATCAAAAGACTAACCAGAGAAGATGCAGAGATGCCGTTCTTTCTCCTCAAAGAAAAGAATCGGTTCCTGTGCCTACGAATCTATCCGATCGTAATGCCAGCTGAAAACATGCATCTAAGATTGATGTAAGGTTCCGTAAGGGTTGAGGATACCTGGCGCAATGTAGCCGTAAGAACCAGCAATGGCTGACATGCATTCGGAGGCGCCTGTGTCCCTCAAGTACTTGGCCAGGCCGAAATCTGCAACATGAGCTTCGAAATCTAAATCCAGCAAGATGTTGTTGGACTTGACATCTCTGTGGAGAATCGGAGGACAGCAGTCGTGGTGCAGGTAGCTCAGTCCCCTGGCTGCCTCCGTTGCGATCCGAAGTCGCATTGGCCAATTCAGATACCCACCTCTCTTCCCGTGGAGTGCTTCTCCCAAGCTCCCATTGTGCATGTACTCGTACACCAGTAGGTTCGTCTCCTTGTTCGAGCAGAAGGCGAGCAAGCGCACGATGTTCCGGTGCCTGATCTTGCCTAGAGTCTGCACCTCTGCAGACAATCCGTTGTCGTGCGTGGAACCCTTGCCGATCCCCAGCAATCTCTTCACCGCAACCTGCTCGCCGTTGGGCGTCGTTCCTCTGTACACGATCCCTGCTCCTCCTCTGCCGATGACGCAGTTCTCTTTGAGACACTCGACGATGTTTTCGCTCGTGAATTCCAGCTTCTGGAATGCTGTCAGCCTCCATGACCTGGAGTTCCTCTTCATCATCGACTGAGTCTTGATGGCCACCGTGATTGCGAAGACTAAGGAGCATGTTAACAGACCCAGCGCGAAGAGGAGCTTGAGCTTTCCAGGGAGCTGGGACTTGACGCCGTGATGCTGGTCTTTGGATGACGAGCTGCATGGATCTGAAGCTGATCGACAGAGCCGGGGGTTGGCGAGGAAGGACGAAGCATTGAAGTAGGCGAACTGGCCGGTTTCCGGTATCCTGCCGGAGAAGTCATTATGCGAGAAGTCTGCAGAAGTGAGGCTCTTCATGCTTCCGATATCTTGCGGGATGCTCTCACTCAGGTGATTCCATGACAGGTTTAGATAGCTCAGCACTCGAGCTTGAGATAGTCGAGCTGGTATCGGTCCGATGAGCTCGTTCTGGCTGAGGTCCAAGTACGTGACCGAGATGCAATCACCAATCTCAGGGGGAATTCCACCGGAGAAGTTGTTCCTGCTCACGTCTATCTTGAGAACATGCTTAAGAACACCCAGCTGAGACGGCAGCTCCCCGGTGAACTGGTTGCCGCTGAGAAGAAGCATCTGCAGCGACGAGAAGTTCCCGATAGAGGACGGAAGGGGCCCGGAGAGGCGGTTGTTGGAGAGATTCAATTGGACGAGCTTCGCAGGCTTCTTGGCGGTCTCTTCCGCCATGGCTCCGGTGAGGTAATTGTTCTGCAACTCCAGCAGAGACAGCTCCGGTAGGTAGAGGAAACCCTTTGGAAGAGACCCAGTCAAGTAGTTCTGCCCCATGCGGACCCTCAAGAGCGTCGTGCAATCTCCGAGATCATCCGGCAGTGAACCGAAGAGGAAATTTTTGAGCAGGATCAGTATCTCTAGCTTCCTGCCATAGCAGAGGAATCTCGGGACCGATCCAGTGAGCTTGTTGGTGGAGAGATCGACCTCTCGGAGCCTGCCATTTCGCCCTAGCTCGGCCGGGATCGCACCGGTGAAGTTGTTCTGCCACAGCTTGAGGACCTCCAGATTTGGCAGCTCGGCGACGAACCTTGGAATCTCGCCATGAAACCGGTTCATGAACATGTGCAGCAAGCTGAGCTGATGCAGCTCCGCGAACTCCTTCGGGATCTCGCCGGTGAGTGCGTTGTTGGAGATGTCGAGGTACCGCAAGCTGCTCAAGTTGCCGAGGTGGGGAGGGATGGTGCCGGTGAGCTGATTCGTCTGCAGGAAGAGCGTGTCCAGCTTCTTGAGATTTCCCAGTTCCGGTGGGATCTCCCCCTCCAATCCACAGCTCGAGAGGTCGAGATGGACGAGATCGATCAAGCTCCCGAGTTCGGCCGGAATTCCGCCATCGAACTCATTGTAGTAGCCCAAGTAGAGCTGCTTCAGCGTGGTGACATTACCCAACTCGGGAGGTATGAAGCCGCCAAGATCATTCCCTGCAACTGAGAGGTAGCTCAAAGCCCTGAAACCTCCATAGGCCGCGGGGATCGTGCCGGAGAAGTAGTTCCCTCCGAGGTCTAAATGCCGGAGCTTCGGGAGCTTGGAGAGGCCGACAGGAAGAGCCCCGAAGAAGTCATTGTTGTACGCGTCCAAGACTTCCAGTTCCGCCATGTACGAGAAGCTCCAACTCAAGGTGCCGTTGAACTGGTTGTTGGAGACGTTGAGATGCCTGAGGCCCGCGAGCTTCCCGACACTGGACGGGAACAGACCGGAGAGGCTGTTTCCGGCGACCGAGAGGTAAGTAAGGCCTTTCAGCTCTCCGATCACCGGGGAGAGGGAGCCGGAGATGTTCAAGTTGGACAAATCGAGCGCGAGGACCACATGCATGGCCGCGTCGCAGCGGACGCCATCCCATGCGCAAAGCGATGCATGGTTGGACGGGTTCCAGCTGGGGAGAAAAGACTCTGAGCTGTGGAAGGACCGCTTGATGGAGATCAGGACGGAAGCTTGCTTCCTTAGAGAGGCAGTGGAAGGAGGGGTGAGGGAAAGCAGGAGAGAGGAGAGCAAGAGAAGGGCTCTTGCAGTGGGACTAGCCATGGAGGGGGCTTCTGAGAAAGAGGAGAAGAAGGGATTAAATTCAGGGAGAAGAAGAGGGGCTTCAGAGAGAATCCAAGAAGGTGAAGTCCTGCTTCTTCTCTTTCTCTTCTTTTTTGGGGTATAAAAGCTTGAAAGCTCCCAGGTGTATTAAAGTGGACACACTGCACTGTTTGCTCAGGAATCCCTGGTGAAGCCTCCCAAGATTGAGTGCTGCTTTTGCCTCACAAACGTCTCATGCAATGCAATCCTCGCTTCCCTGCTCGAAGAAAACAATGCAGTCAACTGGTCTTCCCTGAGCTTACTGTCAAGATAAAGGCTCAGGCATCAGGAGGAGACACAGAAAAGGATCACAACTGGTTGCACTCTGTGCTTAAAGCTGCTCATATAAGGTGGTTTTAAGTCATCCGGGAATAATGTAGAATCCTAGGTTAGCTCTCGTTCCGTAAGAATTATTATGGACTTCAAGCTGCATATTTACCAATTATGATTTGACAAAGATGATAAAAGCAATGAATAAAGACTGCTGAAGGCTAGTTTCATCTAGGAAGTCACAAATGGAACAAGTCTTGGGAAAACAATGCATGTTATGTTGATTCAAGCTAAAAAAAAGAGAAAGTGAGGAGAGGGCAGCTTGATTTGTCTGGGATGAGCAGGTAAAGCTGAAAAGAGGAAGTAGCGGTTTCCTTAGGAGACCAAAGTGTAGTAACATCAAGGAATGCAATGTCTTAACCAGGGGAACAAAAGTAGTTTGCTGATATATATGGATTCAGATAACTGTGGAGTGTGAGGGGACAATATAGAGCATGCTTTTCAGATCATTACAGAAATATATCTCACCAACATTTGATTCAACAAATGCTGAAAGTGTTTGTTAGATGCAAGTTGGATATAAGCGCAATTTGCAGAAGAAGAAAAGAGTGGCAAGAATCCATGCAAGGGAATCTGATAGGACTTCATGTTTCCATTGAATGCCAGGGAAGATGCTTGCAGCACACTAAAACTACATTGCATTCCATGTGTCGGAAAATGTTGCATGATCCTAGGCTTTGTGCAGAGTCAAGCAACCATCAAAGCCTTCTTTAGCTGCTGCTGGCCTCAGCCTCTGCTGACAGTAACTGATGATGTTAATGGTGGGAATGTAAAGACAAAAGGACTCAGAGTTCAATGAGCAGACAATTGTTTGGTGAAAACCATGCACAACTGCATGCTTGCTTGAATGCAATGTCGAATGCTACCAGTGTCACACTGGTCCAAGATATGTCCCTGATAGGTTAGAATGCGATTGATCAATGGCTCTCTTTCTACTTTTTTTTTAGTGGTAGGCAGTAGAGGGAGCACTTCATTTTACCTACTGCTCCACTGTTATTCCACTGCAGAAGTAGAAATTCTATTATGCATGGTAGTAGTCTTTCCAATATTCCTTTTATTCATTGAAATGAGGCAAACGAGTTCTTTTTCTTTTTCTTTCTCTCCAAGAAGGGGACAACACAAGAGATCATAAGCAGGACACTTGGAAAGGGATGGATCACTGCAGAAATAGAGGACAAGCCAGCAACATGTTCCCAACATCCTGTAATTGGAGATTCAACTTGACCTTTCTTTGATGCTCGTCTAAGACAAAACTTGGACTACTCTTCCCTACCACCCTATTCTTGTGCTTGGGAAAAATTTTTATCCAGTGATGCACCAAAAAACTTTAAAAATATTAAATTATAATTTTTTTATTTTAATCCTTTACTATATGAATCAGTGGGACTTCTATTATCAAGTCACTCCTATATTCTTTTTCTCATCTTAATTTCTTTAGTTTTAAGGTTCCTTTTGGTTGCTTGCTTACATATGATTATGTGGCCAAGTACATGAAGAATCATAGGGTGTTCGACTTGCAGTGTTGGACCTGATCTGTAGGGTGTTCGACCTACAAAAGTCTTATCGACATATTCCTAATAATAACCATCCAATCCTCAAATTAGCTAATGTGATAGATTAAAAAAATAGAAAGTATAATCAGCTTATCAAGAAGTTCATCCTATATTTCATAGCTTTGATGTTCCGACATACGAGTTGGTAAATGCAATATTGCATAAGTGTCACGTCTTAGGTTCAACTTCACATGTGAGTGTCATATATATCGTTTGATGTAATATAATTTTTTCATCCAACATTTACCTTCGAGATTCTTACCTAAAACAAACTACTTTCGTATAGTTAAACAATCAGTGGTATACCCGATAGTTGACCATTAATTGTTAAAGTAGTTTTTAGATTGTCTGAGCTAGAAGCTGATTAGACAAGTCGGACATAGATTATTTTGTGTGTTGCGCGTACTTGTATGAGCACCTGGGGGAGTGCCCATTATGTCGTCTGTTTGGTAACAAAGGTATGGAATTTGATCATACTCGCTCGATGTCGAGCTATTATATCTATTTGTTACGTCGATTGGAACTACCATCGATTGATATCAGGTCATTGTGCTTTTTTACATGTTGCTTACACGATATTGGCATAGCCATGTGTTGACCTGGTAGATTGGTTGTGTGGAGAAGAGGTGTCGAATAAGGAGCGGTAGAGCTAGCGTAAAGTGCTGATGGGTCAGTCACGCTACTTTTGTCATAACACATGCACCCCATTTTCCAAGCTGGTTAGGAAGTATGATTCTATTGATATATATTATCAGTATGAGAGATGATGAAATGCTCGACTTAGTTGCACAAACATGACATCTCGATAGCTACTACTATTGGACACAATAACATAAGGGGATAATATAGTCAGGTATGATAACACGGTAGGATAAAACAACTCAGTGTAGTGGTGTCTGAGGGACAGAGAGGTCGAGTGTAGTGGCACACAAGGTTCCAACGAAATCGAGTGTGGTGGTACATGAAGGGTCGAGAGGTCAATTATAATGGTGCATAAAGGGTCAATGAAGTCTGGTGTGATGGTGCATGAAGGGTCGGGGGCTTGGGTGTAGTAGTGTGCAAATGGCTAGTGAATCTAGGCATGATGGTGTAGAGGGTTAGTGAGGTTAGGACACGATAGTGCAAAGGGCCAATGAGGCTTGTGTGCAACAATTCAGAGGGTCGGTTATAGGCACATGCCAAACACACCCTTCTCTAGCATGTGGGAGAATTTGGGTGGATTCGGATATGATTTGGCATGAAAGGGGGATATGGCACAATTACCATATATCGTGTGGCCATTATATAGATTATAGAGGATTCAATGTGATCTCCCTAGTGATCTAAATGATCGCTACATTATTAGGATTATGCC